AACGTTTTTGAGATGGGGTCATAAGGCTCTATAACAGGACTATGAATTTGGCCTTGGCTTGGTGTACTAATTATGTAACAAGCATGGCGATGAATTGCTGAGCAATTTCAGTGCCTCCAGCCGACTTAAGTTAGCAGGTACTGTTGGAGGCCAAAAGGCGAATGAGTTAAACCACCCAAGACGTAAAATAGAAATAGCTCTGAAAGGCACAGCTTGGATAACTTTATTGTTGCTATGAAATTGAATACATGCATTAAAAAAAGAAGAACAACAAGCGTCAAGTGTTTACTGGGCTTTTAGGAGACATATTTATAGATCCTCACAGACGCACCATGATGTATGCAGAAACTAAAATTATATCCAGATATGCTCAAGTCTGCTTTGGAATCATTAAATGCAAGCAATTCAGGGCTTGAAGAAATTTAGAGACTGAGGTGATTTTCATCTGAAGATTTGCTAGTCATTCATGATTCATAACTAGGGTTAACACAATACATAGAATCCTGAAGCTTCCCTTTCCTTGTTTGCTTAGACGGCCACCCTAAATTTACTTACTAGAGAGTAAACTTCATTGAACTCAACAGGGCTTATTTCTGTGTAGAGCTGCACAAGATACAACACTGAACCTGGAAGTGACCCAAAAACCTCACTAAATGCCTTATTAAAAGGCCAGAACAGGGATGGAGTTGGGGTGGGGCAGGGCTTAATGTGCTGGGGTGTGTTTTTACATGCTCCGCTGACATGCTCAGGGGCCAGGAACCCACGAGCAAAATGGTTGTCGACTGTATACAAAGCAAATGGCAGGTTTTAATAAATACTATAGAGATATAAATATCAACCAGTTTGTAGAAATCTTCTACTTTGATACATCTGAAATTGGAGAGTGACATCTTTCTGGACCTCTTTGCCAAAAGTGGGAAGTGTGTAGCTGTCATTTTGCTACCTCCCTTTCTTGGTTTCTTACTTCAGAGAGAGAGAAAGAGAGAGAGAGAGAGAAATGTAGGACATACATTTTACATTAATTTTCCAATTATTGGCCAATATGAATCGAGGTTCTTCTGTTTTAATGCCATCCCAAAGGTTAGCACTGTCAAAAAAGCATATCATTCTATAGTTTTGAAAAGGCCAGTTATCTTCCAACAATGTTTCTTTTTCACTAAGGAAAAATGTCAGCTATGGACCTTTTGGTTCAATAAATGCTTTAGGAAGATTAAATCACTAGTTAAGGAAGCTAAGCAACATAGGGCTAGAGTGTTCGACTGAAGTAACACGAGAGAAGGGATGGATCAAACAGCTTACTGAGTATATTACAATAGTAGTATATTGGCCTTGAATGTAGGTATGAATATGTGTTAATACTAGAATTTGACCGAGGTAAACAGAACTGCTGTCATTCCTGGAAAGTAATTGACAAACGAACATGATACAGTATAAAGAAAATGGTTTCAAATTCCTATGGGGACCTGTGCTTCATTTTACTGAACACCGCCCTTCTCCCCTTTAAGTAACTAAATTTAGGTCAAAATAGGAAATCAGAGAGCAGTGCATTGAAAAATGGACAACTGAAATAATGTTTAGATAAAAGACATAAACAATGGAAGGTGGTAGTCAAGGATTAGGGATTCACTTGGAACACACAGAGTCAGATAAGCAAAGTGCCCAACTTTTGTTGTGTCCTTTGTCAAACTACCTAGTCTCTATATGAAGGCAGGTTGGACAAAGATGGGGAAAATAGGTGCAGGCAGCTGCCAAGCGCAATGCAAGCTTTTCTCTTATCCTTCTTCTAGTCCAACTTCTGTGAATATGTTGAATATGCTGGAAAATGAAAATAGGGACATCCTAAGGAAAAGCAGGACATTCTGGGATCAAATCAGAAACCAGGATGGCATCTTTAAATCCGGGACGTCCCTGGATAATAGGGACACTTGGAGGACCTGCACTTGACTGGCAGCATATGGTAGGATGTCCCTATTTTGCCCCGCATGGTTGGGGCAACCCAGTAAGATGTGTGATAGTAAACTTATCATTATGGAATGGGGTGTCCTTATTTTCATAAGAGAAATGTTCGAAGGTATGGTTTCTGTGTTGTGAGTTTTGCCAACCGGCTAACCTTATTTTGCATCATTTAGTTACACTTGAAGTAATTTGAACAGCATCTTCGTGTATGTTTTTCATGGAACCATAGAATTGTAGTATGCTAACTCATGTCAGCCCTTCTTCTTGTATGAGAAGGGCTTCATGCCAGCCAGCCAACCAGTTGGTGGTGGTGGTTTCTTTTATTTCTGACACACAGAATTCAGGCTGGTGAGAGGTCCGAGGACTGGGCTCTTTGAAGAATCCAAGGGCAGTGCCATAGCCCACAAGGCCTTGTTTCAGGGCTTTCTGCTGGTTACAACTTTTCTCCACTGGAATGTGATGAGGGGGGGACTGTGTGCCATCCTAATCTTCCCATTCATCCATCAACTTTGGGGGTTAAGATTGCTTTAATAGACAACAATGTATGCAGCTCATAGGGTAAAATGTAGACAGCTTGTAGCGTGAAATTATCCGGGTACTCATTTACTATTTTGTGATTAATTTTCTATAGAGTTTTTATAATTTATTTTGACTAATATAACACTTTTTGAATACCGTATTTTTCGCACGATTGGACGCACCGGACCATAGGACGCACCTAGTTTTTTTGGGGGGGAAATAAAGGAAAAAATTTCCCCTTTATTTCCCCCCCCAAAAGCAGGTCAGGGAAACCGAACCAGGTCGAGGAACAGCGGGATAGTGGCGCTGCGCCTCCCTGCTGTCCCCCAAGCTTGTGGGGCTGGCCGATGTCTGTCCGGCGGGCGGGGAGCTCTGCTTCAGGGCGCCCCACCCGCCAGGCAGCAGGCTGCTATCGGCAGCGTGGGGAGCCCTGTGGGGAACTCCTGCAAGCCTCCCCACTCTGCGGATGTATGCCTGGCGCGAGGGGCGCTCTGCTTCAGGGCGCCCCACCCGCCAGGCAGCAGGCTGCTATCCGCAGCGTGGGGAGCCCTGTGGGGAACTCCTGCAAGCCTCCCCACTCTGCGGATGTCTGCCTGGCGCGAGGGGCGCTCTGCTTCAGGGCGCCCCACCCGCCAGGCAGCAGGCTGCTATCCGCAGCGTGGGGAGCCCTGTGGGGAATTCCTGCAAGGCTCCCCACGCTGCGGATGTGTTCCCGAAGCGCCTGGAGCTCTGCTTTCAGGGCGCCCGGCGCTCCGGGAAGCAGGCTGCTATCCGCAGCCTAGACACGGCTAGCGGAGCGCTAATCCCAAAGCCCCAAGCTTTGGGATTAGCACGGCGCTTCGCTAGCCCTGGGAGAGCCACGCAACGTCGCGGGGCTCTCCCAGGGCTAGCGAGACCTTGCCGGCACCCAGAAGCTTGGGGCACGCTGAGCTCCGTGCGCCCCAAGCTTCGGGATTAGCGCGGCGCTTCGCTAGTCCTGGGAGAGCCACGCAACGTCGCGGGGCTCTCCCAGGGCTAGCGAGACCTTGCCGGCACCCAGAAGCTTGGGGCGCGCTGAGCTCCGCGCGCCCCAAGCTTCGGGATTAGCGCGGTGCTTCGCTAGCCCTGGGAGAGCCACGCAACGTCGCGGGGCTCTCCCAGGGCTAGCGAGACCTTGCCGGCACCCAGAAGCTTGGGGCGCGCTGAGCTCTGCGCGCCCCAAGCTTTGGGATTAGCGCAGCGCTTCGCTAGCCCTGGGAGAGCCACGCAACGTCGCGGGGCTCTCCCAGGGCTAGCGAGACCTTGCCGGCACCCAGAAGCTTGGGGCGCGCTGAGCTCCGCGCGCCCCAAGCTTTGGGATTAATGCAGCGCTCCGCTAGCCGCGGCTAGCGGATAGCTTCCTGAAGCCTGGAGAGCGAGAGGGGTCGGTGCGCACCGACCCCTCTCACTCTCCAGGCTTCAGCGAAAGCCTGCATTCGCTCCATAGGACGCACACACATTTTCCCTTGCTTTTTAGGAGGGAAAAAGTGCGTCCTATGGTGCGAAAAATACGGTAGTTTAGCAAGAGTCTCAATTGATGTATATTCTGTAATTAGTGGTTAATGATATTGTAAGACAACCATTTATTATCAGTGTGGTGTTATAATAGGAAGTGCACTATGTGAAAATGTTTAATATAAAGCTGACTTCATTTGGGATATCCAGATAATAATATCACTATAGGAAATGTGAGTATGGGGACAAGAAATTCTGTGGGATATTTAATATTTTTTCAATGATAAGTTCATTATAAAATGCTGCACATTGTATATAAAAATTGCAGCTTAATATTTCTACAGTTGGACTGCAGAAAACGTCTCTTTTTTAAATAGAAAGTGTGGCAAACCTTAGCTCTCAGTACCAAAACCAAAGTATAATTTATTTAACCTACCAAATTGCTAGTTTGTATGATTCTCCAAAAGCTTTGCAAATAGCACCAAGGTGTTTGGGTCCCACATGTCAGGAAGTAGGCTGGATTTTTTATGAGGTGTTGGAAGTTTAAAATAGCTAGTGCTAGGCTTCTTATATGTTTGTTAATTTCACTTGGGCATTTAATAATGAGTATTAACATAATTATGATTGGCTGCTTACACCAAAATGCTCCACAGGTAATCACACTGCACCCAAAGACTTAGGAACGACAAACAGTTCTTTGTGAGCCAAAAGTGAATTTATGAAACTGAATTGTTTAACACAAATAGCTCTTTGTGAACCTTGTTAATTTGCTGATAGACTACAACATGACTTGTGTTAAAAACAGAAGAACTGTATGGAAAAAGAGGATTGTATGTAACATGGACCTTGCTTAACTATTTGCTGGTATATACAAATAAATCTATCTGGATTATTCCCACTTCCATTCAAAACAACAGGGGAAGCTCCTCTTATGGGCAAAGTGAGACATTGCCCTACCAAAAGTCTGAACCCCCAGAAATCTTCAAAGTCTCTCCTTTTATGTAACTATTTGGTAAAATGTTGATTTCTCTTTGGATTTCTTTCCTCTCCAGAGCTGCTCAGAAGTTGAATTTGTCATCCAAAAAAAAGAAACACCGGCCTTCTGCGTCTTCTGTTTCTGAATCTCACCTATTTGCTACCAAATTCAGCACCATCCTACAGACTTCCCCTCCACCTGCTCCACCATGTTTGCTGAGGGCAGTCAACAAAGTAAAAGACACTCCAGGACTGGGCAAGGTAAGGATTAACCCACAGCCAACATCTATTTTATTTTTCTTGTAATGGGAGAAAGCATATGTGCAAGCATATTTGTTGCAGCTACACCAATGTTTATTGTAACCAGAGCTTCTTTCTCTGACAGTCATTGCTGGTATGGAGTTCCAGCGCTACTTCTTCTTTTCCTGCCTATGGCAGCCATTTTGTGATCACACCCAGGACACTTTTATCAATATATACTTAAAAAAAACAAAAAACACTGATTGTAACAAACATTTACAGTGCATACCACGTTCAACTGCTTACAAATAAGCAGTGCTTTTTTCTGGGAGGACGCAGGGGTATGCATACCCCTAAACATTTTGTGAATTTTGTACTTTTGTCCATTTACTGTATTTATTTTTCCTGATATGAACTATAAAATGGTGATTTTCTTGAGTCAAAATGAGAATATCCCTAAACATATTTTTAGGGGGGAAAAGCACTGCAAATAAGTCTCAGTGGAACTTACTCCCAAGTATGCATTCATAGGGTTGTAGCCTAAAATTATGAAGAGAAAATGTTCATATTTGTGTACGGTGCCCATACACACAAAACTGGGGGCCTTTGATTTATATATTTGTTTAGAAAATTTATAATTCGATTGATCAGTTTTCCAGACAGTGTACAGATCAATTTATGTACAAACATGGCTAAAGTCCATAAACCAGTTAAAAGGAAATATACATAGAAGCATTATCATTAAAAACAAATATATAAGTCAATAACACTTTAAAACAAATTAAATTGTGTGTTTGAATAGGCTTGCTGAAACAGGAAAGTGTTCAGTTAGCATTTAGAAGAATATAGTTACACACCTGTCTAATGTCAAGAGACAGGAAATGAACAACTCCTTACAAATGTGGAATTGTGTGGCACTTGTAAAAGTGCAAACTCCAAAAATTGCAGGGATTGAATAGACATGTATGAAGGTGATTCCTTAAGTAAACCTGTCCCAAGCCATTAAGGGTATATTAAAAGGTTATACTGATTGTTAGAGTTGTTCAGCGGAGTCCTTAATCTGGCCTTTGTGTAGAAATGAATTATTTCTACTGCAAGAATGCACTTCAGAGCTTTACTGCGAAACAGTCTTAGGTACTAGTTACAATAAGATAGGTGTTACAAAATAACAAAGCAACACATTGCAAACAAGCAACGACGCTCAGTTATTTATGCAGTTCAGTAAACTTTCCTCTCTCTGGTCCCAGAGGGAGATCCTAAGCTTGTTCATCATTGCAGAATTTCTCTGCAAGCGCTGCGGCTGCGGCTACTAGTCATCTCCAACAAGCACACACTGGCCTCTCAAGTTTCAGCTTCCTGCTGCGACAGCTCTGCAGCTGGTGTTTCCATGTTTCCAGAGATGAGTCATCAGGTAGCTTATCTCATTCTAATGGAAAAAATACCAGCATTCTCTGACGCTTTTGCCAGAGTGGAACCTTTTTGCCTAAGGCAAACTTGCCATTACAGCATTTTACATACAGTGCATTCAAACACAGCATTTTATGTACGTTAAACTTATAACTTTAACAATGGTTTCCCTGTAACATGTATGCTGATAATATATGAGCACTGCTATTTACATTTGGTATGCTTACTACAGAAAATGCCAGATAACAGTGATATAGCTTCAGGCAAACAAGCCTGCTGCATAAAGTGAGAAGCAGCTCTAGAGAGGGTGTTTTGGCACATTTCTTCATGTGTACTGGGACACCATGCACTTTTACAGACAAATCTAATTTAATACATTCCAAAATACTTTAATTCAATTGCTTAGTATATGAATTTGAATTAATAATATACTAGATAGTCTGTAAACTAACCTGTATTTTCAGCTAATCATAATTCAAAGTATGAGTGTAAGTTGGTAATTTAATTTCCTCTTAGAACAGAAAAAGGTAAACGTAATCTCTTTATCTGAGCTGGTCTAGCCTGTGTCTACTGATGTCTGAGTAGTCAAGCTCTTTGAAAACTTCTACAGGGTTATGATGCCATCCTGCATTCCTTGCTTTCTATCAGTGATGTTTCTGCAACTTGTTCTAAGTTAGAATAAAAATAGGTCTTTGTGCAAGGCTGATAGGGTGAGTATATCAGGACTAGTAGCTGTTTAGGATGGCAATAAATAGCTCAGACGCTGGCTGTGCTGGAGAAAGGGATAACCAGTAAATAGAACTAGGAAGAAAGAGGAACTGCCCCATTAAGAGACAGAAGGTTGATTTCCTCCCTGATGTACCTCTGAAAAATACAAAGTGTGTCTACCAAAATATAAACAAACTCTTCCTCCCTAGCATGCCACTCAAGAGCCTTTATATGTTACATTTGAAAGATGTTCTGATGCTTTAGGTAGAAATCCTGAGGAAAGTTTCTAGAGGTAGGGAGCAGCAACTGAGAATGCCTTTTCCCAGTCTTTCTTTTCCTTTGTATAGTCAAGGACAGGGGCCAGCGAGCTTTCTCAGCCGTGGGCCGGTCCACCGCCCCTCAGACCATGTGGTGGGCCGGACTATATTTTGTGTGTGTGTGGGGGGAATGAACGAATTCCTATTACCCCACAAATAACCCAGAGATGCATTTTAAATAAAAGCACACATTCTATTCCTGTAAAACCACGCTGATTCCCAGACCATCCGCAGGCTAGATTGAGAAGGCGATTGGGCCGCATCTGGCCCATGGGCCTTAGGTTGCCTACCCCTGGTCAGGGAGAAGAATCAAGAGACTAATCTTTGGTTGACAATAGTGTAAAGGTGAAATCTAACTTTATATTTCCCTATTTTCAATTCTTGAAATGGAGAGGGCAGAAAATGCTCCACACAATTTAGTAATTCCGAGGATGAGATGCATGAACTATGGACAACTCCACGATACCTTAAAAACCTTAAGTGTGTTAAATGTGTTTTCAATCTAAAGAACTGTGCACGCAAAGGAAATTGTCTTTGGAACTTTCTGTCATTAGCCGCTAACACTGATGGAGGCAAGCTTCCCTTGTCAATGGTGAGAGCAGCTGCAGTGCCCTTCTCCCCACAAAAAATCCTTTGGGTTTGTACTTGCATTTCCTAACATGCATGTGGTTCTGTCCAGCCATTCCATCATTACAGAAAGAACAGCATGCTGACTTTGTATGTCTATATCTCTAAAAGCATTGTTATATATGAGTAAATATATGTATCATAAGAAATGGCCATAAAACATATAGCTAACAACTAAAATATATACTGCATATATAAAATATATACAGCATATATAAAATATATACTGCAGGATGATCTGGATTTAAGAGAATGTAGTATGTATCTAGGGGATGAAGATATTGGGTAGACTGTTTCAGAATAATTAACAGATGGTAAGTACCAAACTACATTAATGTAACAACTTTCTGTTTTAATTGGTGGTTAATTGTTGACACAGCTAGCCCTACCTGCTTGATATATATTTGCAATACAAATAAAGATTTGGCTATCATCCAAGTTTTCAGAGACACTAAAGGTTCTTTTTATTTCAAAAGAGGGAGACACAATAGAAAAGTATGTATTGACTCACACGTTGCCACTGGGTAACGTCTTCCATGCTGTGACTATCTCTTCGCAAAGTATATTGAAATTTGGTTGGGATCCCAAAGCAGTATTGGTTTACTGTTATTTTACCTTAATTTCACTTCCTCTGCCTTCTAATGCCATCCCTCTGTTGCTTTTTAATGACGTTCCACCAGTGTCAAAGGCATTGCTGCAGCTGGGACTCAAAATCTTAATGAGGAGCAACGAGAGAAGAAAATTGCATGTCATGGGTCTTCTCTGACCCTTCTCTCTCTTCTGGATCAATTCCCAACCAAATCCAATTAAAGTAAGAGGTGTATGCTGCAATGAGCTGTGTAGTGCAAATTGGTTTGCCATCTCACACAATGACACTCATCTCTGCACACTCATCTTGTCCAGAGGTGTTTCAATTTGTATCTGCAGGCCACTGTTGCAGGCTTGTAGCCAGATGTTTGTAAGGGATTCCCACAGAATTTAATTTTCTTTTATCGTCAAGTACCCCCTCTTCCATAACAAAAAGCTTGTGGTTTTTCATTCACATCTCTTCTGCATTTCAGTCACTATACTATTATTTGGCCTGTTCTGTATGTGACTGGGTGACAGAATGTACAGTTTGGATTTTGGATGTGAAGAAAGCTATTCTATCAGAAAGTGCAGAAATTAGAGCTGATTTTGAATTCTTGTCTATATTGAAAAAAAAACATTTCAACACCATTTTAGATAACACTAGATGCTGTGTTTATACTATTTTAATGGTGTGCATACTTGCAGAGAGAATTTACCATCCATCTACAACAGGAGAGAGGATAGGCCAGGAACTGGCAGGGAATCACAGAATGTTCTCTTATTTCAATTTTTGGTTCAGAAGCATTACTTTCAGGGAGATGTTAGTTCATTTTTCCAGATTTTTGGTTGTTGTGGGGGAGATTAGGCTCTAGCAGAAGGGTTTGTGGATCTGGGAGCTTTTTTATTCTTTTTGGCCACAAATATCTTTCACAGTGTATTAAGCTTTTCTGAAACCTATGTCCAGCTTCTGAAACATGTGCTGCTAATATTCATCTTGAGAACTTTAAAAAGGAAGCAAGAGGGAGAGCTATCTTTCCTTCTGAAGCTTCAGCGTTGGGACACATAGTAAGTCAAAAGTTAATTGCTGTAGGACAAATGAGAGGTTCAACCATTATCCCTTGGAAACAATTTCTGAGAGGAAGAAAAAAACTGTTTCTCCTCAGAGTTACCATGGTTACTGATGTAGGAAAAAGAAGGAATACCCCATGAGGCATTTTAAGAAGACATGTGCGTTCATCATTGTAGTCAAACCGATTGTTCTATAAATTAAACAGTTAGTTCCACTTGGAATGAAAGCCAGGTGGCCTTTAGCCCTCAAGTCAGAGTGGCCCCGTAACAGAGATATTCGTCAGGAAACAGGTTTGATGGATCGGACTGAGGCCTTTGTTGGCT